CATACTGGGATATTAGAAAATTTAAAAAAAAGATTTCAAAAACAACAAATAAACTGTTTCAAAGCTTTTCTGTTTTCATAAGTTCAACACAACAAATTATGAACCATATTATTTCTTGCTTCTTAAGCTTTTTTATAATTAATGGCTTCAAACCAGTAGCATAGGAACTTCTATTTTTAAAGAATCTGAATTGTCAGAAGTCATTTATAAATGAAGGGTATTGTTACTGAATAACTTATGACACAATATGTACTTTTTGAGAATTTTAACAAATAAAAATTTAGAACCATTACATTGAAATTTCATGGTTCTTCTGCCTAATGATGATTGTTGCCAATTCTACTTACTCTCTATAAATTAATCTGGGGGGAGGAGGAGGGGTTGTAATCCCTAGGTTCCTGTGCTACTGTTTCAAAAGTAATTAAATCATTGACAATTGCAATACAATATGTTACATATAAACACATCAAATTATTAATTTTAAATGCATTGTATCTCATCTAAATAAAACCAACATCTCAAAAATAATGAAAAAGACAAAAAAATATGTATAGTTGTACCTTTTCTCCAACTTACCTTACTGTGGTGCCTTCTTGGGCTACAAGCTAATACAAGTACCATTTACAATGAATATAAAAAAAAAAAATCCACCCTAACCAGGTTTAAGGTTGTCCCAGAACAATACACTATGGCAGGAAATATTTTAAGTCTCTATTATATTAAATTGCTAAAGAATAAAACAAAATTACAATAGTTACAATATAAAAATTACTAATTAATTATCTGAATTTACACCTTTTTTATTATTATTGTATCTCATAAAAAATTACTGTTTATCTACTTAATATTTTTTTTTATCCTGCTCACATTTAAAGAAGATTAATCTACTTATAATATATATAATTCTTTAATGGTCAAGTATATATATATATATATTATAAAATATAAATCCATTAACTTTGATAAAGTTTAAGGCTCTAAAGATATATTTACAATTTATTTACATAATAGCAAAAAATAGCAGTATCATATAAATGACAAATAAAAATTTTAAATATATAAACACTAATGAATTTACAAACAAATCACAAAATCATTACATATCATAAGGTTCTAAATAAAAATACTTTTTTCTATCCTTATTTGAAAGCTCATATAAAAGCTGATTTCAAATACTTTCTTTAATCAAATGTTTAAGCTTACATAGATATGTCCTTAAAAAAAAAAACTTTACCAAAAAAATCCTAACTCATGAGAATGTATATTTGAAAAAAATATGGTGCTCCTCTTAAAATCTGATAAATTTACAGTTAAGCCTTTTTTTCTTTGCTTAAAAGTGGAAACTTTGCCTTAAAATAAACAACAGAAGTCATATTGCATCTTCTTTTCATAAACAAACAAGTGTAAAAATTAGGTGCAAGTAATCAAATATCCATTGTTATTTAAGTTGAACCCTTCATTAAGTTATTACTTAAAAACTTTTAATTATTCTTTTTATTATAACTTTAAGATTTTGGTGGTTTTCTACTTTCTGGGTCCTGTGTTTTTTCTTTATATCATGAATAATGTTGTCTTGACATTGACAATCATATGCAATAGTTCACTGTCACACACACATTTCTTATTGTCTGAAGTTAAGCATAAAACAACACAATGAGCTATCTGTGCTCTGCCCACCACAGGTATCGAAATCTGGTTTCTAGCATTGTAAGTTTGCAGACATATTGCTATGCCACTGGGGAGCCACATTTCTTATTTCATCCAAGATTCATTAAATTTTACTCTTTACCCTATTTGAATAGCTTACTTATTATTCTCAAAGAACTGTATATAAATTGATTATTTTTCAAAGCATCTGGAACTGAATATAAAATATTGTTAAGTTTATTAACAGATGAGTAATTTTATGTTCTCTGACTTCCTGTAGCATAGTTATAGTAAACTAGTTGGTTAAAATGTATTTATTTGTTAAATATAATGAAGAGAATGCTCAAAGTCACTTTCCATTTTTTGTTTAAAAAATTTCTAACACAGCAAGACTCACACTAGTTCATCCTTTCCAAATAAAAAGACTCTAGGTTTTAAAACCTAACCAGCATAACCTAATAGTCCTATCAAAATGATTACCTTACACACCAATGATTTGATAACTAAGATATTTAGCATTCAAAACTTCTTATCTTAATTAGCTACATCATCTGCTTGGTAAACTAAATTGTGGGTTCAAAATCTAATTGTCTCAGTTTTTAGCTCTTCAAAAAAATTTTTAACATTGCAGGATGGTGTATTACCCTTAAAATTTCTTGATGTAATTGAATTTTATGAGAAATATGGATGATTTATGTAAAGTTCAGTAGAAGTAGAGAAAGATATAGCATACTTTGTCCTATAAGCACTTATTATAGCTAAGCTAAATAATAAGAAAACATCTTTTTAATGGTTTTTTAGTAGTGTGTATGGTCTTTAGAACTATG